CAGCTGTATCCAAATTAGTGTATTTTTGCAAAACTCACAAGTCAAGTGATCAACAGCTGAATGTCACTACTTCCGGAAAAGGTGAAGAAGAAGATGGCAGGAAGTGGTGGGAGGATGATGGTGCTGTAAGCTTTTGATTGAGTTATTGTGTAAATAAGCTTCTACTCGTGTGATTTTCTTTATTTGTTTGAATCCCCATTAGCCATTGTTGTAACAATGGCTACTCTTCCCATGGTCCACATCATAAAAAAAGCAAGCAAAAAAAAAAAACATTTAATTGTGCTTCTTATTTAATAGAAACACCGTAATTACAAAATTGTTGTTCTTTCGACATAAGAGGAACATCGAGTTTTTAAGGGAAGGAAATATCTTATGCTTTAAACATTTTACGGAGTGTCATTCAAAAGTTGCATGTAGATGTACCAGAACACCATGGCTGGTGTCCTTGAGAGCAACATTTAGGGAAACACTCTGGAGGAGATGCATGGATCCAACCATAACAATAACTAACTCTCCATTATTACATGAGTCAGAAATGTGTTTCCTGAAAAGAAGGCCAATAGTTTAAACTACAAACATGTCAACATTTACGTGCATAAAATGCAGATAATGTTGTGATTTTCTGCAAAACACCAATGCTTTGGCGCGCTTATTTACACTAAGGCTTGAGAACACCTGAAATGTGACCTTCTCTAAAAATGATTCACAAGAAAAGTCAGCAAGAGGTTTATGTGATGAGTCAATGAATAATTAGAGAGACTGCACTTTTATAACAGAGGACGTCCAAACGAAAGCTTGTGCTTTCATGAAGTGACAGAGTAGTTTTAGAAATGGAGGGTGTATAATTAGGAACTCAAAAAACTAAAAGAGAGAGAAAACGGCGCCACTTGACGGTCTGTAGCAAACTCGCTTGTACTGATTGATTTAAGCTTCAGTGCAAAAAAGTCATGGCTATTTAATTATTGAGAACGAAAATATATGGAGAGAAAGACCCCTTGCCAGGACGTTTACTAACTTCCTCACTAGGACAGTTGCTGACTTCTTTGCTAGAACGTTTGCTAACTTTCTTTCAAATCTGTGCTTTGAAAATGTTTTCATTCTGCATTTTTATGGATTTTAGATTTCCACAAACTCAACAAGCTGATCTGTTTGATTTGTTTTCAGTTCAATTCCAGCTGATAGAGTGTTTTATAGCTTAACGTACCATTAGACATCCACCCAGTGGCTGTTATAGCAAAGCTTTCTAAACAACTTGGAGTACTTTCACCTTTGCCTTGTCTTGTCTGTCACTCTGTTGCATTTGTGGTTCCAACTGGAAACCCCAAAATGCTGCCATACAAATGATTTTGGTGTAGTTCTTCTTGGGTGTACCCCATCGGAGATAGCCACCATGTCTCCTCTCAACGCTGCAAGACAATGGAGAAATGGAAAAGCAGTACATCTAAAAGTCATAAATAAGTGAAACCAACTTGTGTGTTGGGCACTGCTTCTTGGCCCAGTGTGTTGACTGGTCAGTGACTCGTTGTCCATTCGTCTCTCTTCATCTCTTTTCTCTGTCTCTCTGCGTTCTCTTCTTCTTTGCTCCTTTACAACTAACTCAGCTCTCAACCATACTCATAGGTCAAGTGTTTCCTGACACGTCTGCATGAATACGAGTCGTGATACCAAGGTCAGAGAGAGAGGATTGTTGCTCTTTCAAACCTGTCTGTTTACATTTTCCAGAGGGAGAGTTTTCCCATAACTTCCCCATATAAGAATGTCTGTCTGGAGCCAGTGTTTAAGTCACGGGTTGAGACTTGCATAGGACAAATGGGAGGGCTGTACAAGGTTGTTTTATGTTGACTCAATTTTAACCTTGGCAAAAAACAACAAAAAAAAGACTTTAAATATAATTTGTGTTTGGATAATCTCAAACACATTCTGATTATGTCCAATTTAATGTCATGTTCAGCTGTCTTGGTGAGAGTGGTAAGAAGTACAGGAAAGGATCTTCAGGGTTAGTTTTTCAGCTTTATTTAAAGCTATGAATGAAACATTTCATTGCATAACTATTTGTGATTTCAAAACACTGTTAAGCAAAGGTAGGATGATGCAGCGAACCAGCATGAATAAAAAAAAAAACTATTCCAGTGTTTAAAAAAAGGAACCAAAGCATGAAGAGGAAGTATTCTCCCCCGCCCCCGTTTTTGAAGGGGAGAGCGGTTTGTTTGAATAGCCGTTGGTGGGTGATGTGTTTCAGAAGTTCATCTCATGTCGGTGAACGTTATGGGGTAGTCCACGTGAAAGTTCTCGGCTTGCTCAAAAACATAAAAGAAACTGTGAATGGGGAATGAGGAGGGATTAATAAAAACCAAAGAGGCCAACACACTGAACTAATATGTGAATTCAAAGGACGTTGGTTTAAGGAGCACAATGCTGACAGAAGGAGTTGTACAAGAGGCGCATCCAGTGTTATGACATGAAAGGAAACCACTGCCAGGCAGCCACAGCTTAACTCCGCCATCTGACAGCCCACAAAGTATTTTATTCTGCAAAGCCAAATTATTTCTGATGGATTTTGGAAGAAAAGAGAAACCCAGCTGTCAAAGTTTTCAGCAGAAGAATGCCTCATTTGGTGCTTGGACGATTGAAACGAATCGTTTTAGCACTAATTTGCTATTGCCAGATCTTGTCGTTGAAAGACAGAAGTCCTTTTGCAAAATGTATAACATCATTTTCTGTTGACCTACTTCAGACTGTGTTGCACAACATTCTGCATACTGCATACAGTATAAGACCACTTCCCACTTTGTAGATTACTACGATCAAAGCTGAGTGCTAAATGATGATACAGATGTACTAATACACCCTGTAAACCACCAAGGAGATTTTAAATTCTATCATTTTATAAACAGAGAGCCACTGCATTGATTAGAGGACTAGTGTGACTTGTTCCTGATGTTGTTCAGGACTCTGTCAGCAGCATTTTGAATGAGCAACAACTGCTTGACTTATTTTCTATTTGATTTGAAGAGAGTAGTAAAGACCTCATCGCAGTAATCTGTTGTTGTGGAAAAACTTTGCAGCATTAAGTTGGAAGAAATTCTAAATGATTTGACTGTCAAGGTCTGTTGTCATGTAATAATAAATAGTATAAAATTGTGTGTTATCAATATACTTATGGTAAGAGATGCAATAGTTCCCCGTATTCTGAGCTAGAGAGTTTATTAAGATGTCAAATAAAAGCGCCCCGAGAACGGAGCCTTGAGGAACCCCACATGTGATCTTTGCTTGGATTTACGATTCCCAAATAAGAGAGTAACCTCAGTTGCCATGTGGGATCTGTTGATATTTCGATTTTAGTGTACCTTTTTTTTTATTATTCCAAAACGACTGCAGTGTGGTTTCTCATATTTAGTAATAGTGGGTACTGAGTTTATGAAACACTTATCCATAATCCTGTATTGTATGGCAGACAATATTAAAAAAGGCAAATCCAATAAATGTTTTGTCTGGGAACGGAGATCACAGTTGCATTTTGTGTATCCACAGAGCAGCAGATGGGTCATCCGAGCATGATTATTTTAGGTGGGGAGGGGGTAAACTCTCGCTGGCGGAGGTGGAGACTATACTGTGTGGTCTGGAGGCCAAAATAATCACTCCATCCTCTGTAGCTCAGTTTATTATTCTAGAGATATCTGCCCAAACCCTTTTTGGCTGGCTATTCGAAAATCCAACTTGTAGAGCGGAGCTCGTTTTTAAGAAAAGCCATTTTTATGCATTTCGAGTGGCTCAGAGAGGACATCAGAAGTGTGATTTGGGTTTCCAAAGGCACCACAGCAACAGTTTGAAGTTCCTACTTTGCTGATTGTTTCAACACCATCAATACTGCTGTGTGCCATTCTTGTTCCCCTTTTGACTGCCTGCTGAACACTAAAAGGGGCCTACTCTTGTACAAAGCTGCTTACAGTTTCTATTAGTACAGACAGGATAGTATGGGAGTATTTCTGCAAGCAATCTCTCTCTTTCCCTCTCTCTCTCTCTCTTTCTGTCTCCCTGTCTCTCTCTCTCTGCCTTAATTAGGCCACCCACATTCATGGTCATGAGCCTCACATGGTTTCTCTGTAACATTTTCAGACTGTGTACACTAAAAACATGCAATGATTGGCAGAAAAGAGTGAAAACAATAAACTTGCAGACATGCTTACGTGCCATCCCCGCTGAGTGCTTGGCTCTTTGGTTGTGGATTGTCTTTATCAATCACAAATACAATAAAATGAAAACGGAAACATCCAGATTTATAGAGATTTTGGGAAAAAGCTGGGTTAAAATGGGAACATTTACAATGTGATTTACTAGTCTCCTCCCACTTACACAATTGTTGCTGTATTTTATTGGATTTTCAGGTGGTGGAGGTGTTAGGAATATATACAGAGATGTGCTGTGAAGATTTGAGAGGTTTGAGAATTGTCAAATTAGGTGCTTTCGTTGAATAAGATCTAAATTAAACATTTTGGCTAGACTTACAAGCTTTAAGTTACCCTAAACTTTAAGCTTCTTTTTTTTAGGTCTATCTACCTACCTACGATACAGAAATAGAGATAGACATAAAGATATATATATATATATAGAGAGAGAGGCATATGGAGAGAAGTACATATACAGCATGACACACTTTTACTTGTACAAATTCACATCTACTCCCTGCCACACAGAATCTGCTACTGCATTTTTATCCCCTCTCATAACTTCCGAAAGTAATAATAATATTGCTTTGTGCTTGTTGCTTACGATAACAATGGCGTACAACTTTGGGGCTACGAGTTGTAGTTATGTAATTTCTATACGCGCTCTCCATGTTGCCTGAGAGAGTAACATAGAAGGGGGAGTGTCGGCTCTCGCGGGAACCGGATTGGTCCAATTTCATGACACCATTGATTGACAGCTGTTTCGACCAATCAGCGTCAACGCCCGGTCTCGCCCCCTCGTTGGCCAAAGGGGGGGCGACGTTGAAGGGAACATTTGTTCGGGACAGGGAGCTGCGCCGTTATGTCGCCGACTGTGTGTGTGTCGTAACACTTTGTTCTAGTCATTAAATCGGATTTAGACCGTCGCGGGGGACTCGTCGTTTTCAAGCAGGCAGGTAAAGGATGTGTTTTGGCTTCCATTCGCTGGTAGTTTTTCGAAGTTAAAAGCCATTTTACGTGGAGGGAGGAGGAGGACTCACTGGAATCGTTTGCGGGAGCATTGCATACTCACTCGGTAAGTGCCTACTCTCCGAACTCCCTAAGTTAACTAGCTAAAATGTTTACGCCTGGTTCTTATTAGCAAAAGTCGAATATTTATGTAGTTAATGTTTCTTAAAAGGAGTTACCTTGTACTCTTGCTGTTTTCTGTCGTTGCTTAACTTTCGTACGTAGCTTTTTTTTTCTTTCTCTCTCTCTTTCTGTCTTTCCCTTCATTCTTCTTGCCCATTTAGCTAGCGAACTACTCCATTAACATTTTTTTGCTGGCGATTTCGGACTCTATCCAAAAGATAGAGTCTGCAGTACGTTTTGCAAACTATCCAACAAAACTGCTTGTGGTTATCTATGTGTTTTCAAGATTAGGAAGGCGATAAGGCACATGTGAGAGTGTGTGTTATAAATGTTGGCCGTGCAGCTCTGCATGCCACAGACGGTAAAGAGGAGCCATTAAAAACCGGTTCATAGTAATAACGCAGTCTGGAGTGCAGTGAATCACTCACTTTTAAGACGCTTATCTTCTTGGCAGATGACGAGGTCTGCCCTGGAGATATTTCAGTGGCACCAAAACATTAAAAAAAACAATGCATGTACATATGAAGGATTTAAAAAGAAAACAAAAACATGTATTTCTAACTTGGTTATTCCTTTTAAAATATATGCATATAATATATATTTCTGTCCTTTTTACCATTTCGCAAACAAAAGAAAAACTTGCTTACCCTACTTTGTCTGTGGGATACTTATGCAAATCAGATGAATCTTCATTTGCATAGAACATTTTGTACAACTTTTGAAGACCTTATACAACAACCCTTTATGTGCTTATTGTGGGAACCAGGGTAGATGCAGTAAAATACAACTGGAAAAAAAATGTATAGCTTTCACAGAAAACTACACATCATCCGTATGTACAAAACAAAACAAAGACGGTAAAGAAACTAACTGAATACATTATCTGACATGTAAAAAGCAATAATTTATCTTACCTCTGTAAATCTAAAGTACATTCCACTTTATGTGCCCTTCTTTCAATAACCATATCAGTGATGTTTGCTCCAATAGCTCTTATTTTATCATCCCACACATATTTATCTATGTCCAAACAGCTCTCTCTCTCTATATATATATATATATATATCTACAGTCTACTATACATATTGTAAGGAATCATGATAGAAATCCTACCAACATTTTGAACAATACCACCTTGAAATTCTCCACATATTTGAAAGAATGACAGAAAGCCATAATTCAAATATGTCTACCCATATTCTAAAGGGCTGTAATTTTCTTTTGTCGCAATTAAAGTGTAAATGTCAGAGAAAGTGCTAGAGTCATCAGCTTTTTTTTTTTTTTTCTTAATCTGGCTGCAGGATGCATAGTGTAATGCAGCCCTCCTCCTCCCCCACTTGTTGCTGGCTGACAGTAGGCTCCTAGGCTTTTCATCAGTTGTTGAATTACAAAACATACATCAAATACACATAAAAAAATCATACATGAAACGTGGGAGTTAAAAAGAAGTTAAGACCATCCAGCTGGTTATGTATGTTGTAGATATGCTGAGCATGAAAGATTAAAAAATTTAAATATACTATCCTAGTACTCAAGTATTGTTTTTGTAATGACTGCAGTTAGATTTCTTGTGCAGCTTTTATCTATAATATAAACAATAAAACAAAGAGCGATGTGTCCAGTCTTTAGCAGCGTCACCGATCAGTACAGTCATATCCAGACGTTTCAGCATTCACAAAGTTTCAACTCCAGTTCCTTCACATCTCAACTGATTTAGACGAAGAAGCTTACAATCATTTTAGGCTGTTTTTATTTGCCCCTAACTCAGTATAAGCTCTTCTTGGCACAGCTAATGAAAACAGTTTATGAGACTGACTACAGTAACTTCCTGTACTTGTCAGATTTTCTTTGCAGCGAAGAACCTCGCGCTGCATCTGCCTCTTTAGCCGCTACTTTTACGGTTTCTCAGACGCTTAGCTAAAAAGGTTTCGCTGCGCACACGTGACGTAGGCAGGAGCCATCTGGTGAAACCGTGACCAACATGGCCTCTCTTCTCAGCTTTCAGGTCTGGATAGGCACGCTCGACGTCACGGCTGCGGGCCGTTCACTGATGGGTACGCGCCGTGCAGCGACGCACGAGGAGCGCAGCAGAGCGTCAACGTCAGACCAGATCTGTGAGAGCAAGAAGACAAGCTAGACATCCTTCGTCTGCGTTCAGTCTTCGGTAGCCAAAAAGTCACAACAAAAGACAAAAAACCAAAAAGAATAAATCGACCCCCTTTCAACATGAGTGTGGAAGGATACCAGTACAGAGCGCTGTACGAGTACAAGAAGGAGCGGGAGGAGGACATCGACCTGCACGTGGGGGACATCCTGCTGGTGAGCAAGGGAGCCCTGGTCGCCCTCGGTCACAGCGACGGCTTGGAGCAGCAGCCGCAGAAGATCGGCTGGCTGCCGGGCTTCAACGAAACCACGCAGGAGAAGGGCGACTTCCCCGGGACGTACGTGGAGTACGTGGGGAAGAAGTGGATCTCGCCACCGACGCCCAAGCCGAGGCCGCTCAGACCCTTACCTGTAGCTCCAGCTTCCTTCAAGGCAGAGGACTCCGACTCGGATCAAGGTGAGCTTCTGTTATTTTTAGGCCCGAGCAGCTAAGCGCTGCGAAGGCCTATTGTTTTATTTATTTATTTTTTTTTTTACGTACCAGTGCAAACTTGAACTTAGCCCTGAATGAGAATCCAAAAGAGCGAAGCTCAGGTTGCCAGAGGAACGGTGGCTCTGTGGATATCATCTATTTTTCTTCTCAATCTCCATCGTGGGAGATTGGAATGTCCTTATCGGCGCTAAGAAAAATGCTCAGATCTATGGATCTGAGCATGTTGAGGCAAGCTGGTTTCGCAAAAAGGAGAAAAAAAGAAGTTCTTTAGTCTTTTTGTTTAAACAGGTTGCCTTTTGTGTGTGTGGGTTTATTTTTGAGGTATCAGGACATTCAACCAGTCATAGGCTCTGAAAAACAGAGGAGATAATAAAACACTAGACTGATTTTAATGCAACTATAAACTCTCAATTGTTTTTTGTTGTTTTTCTCCTTACTTAGCAACCGCAAATAATTGGTATTTTATGCCATAAATTTAAAGCATTTAAAGTGTGAAGTATGCAGATAGTTTTTTAAAGCGCCTTTTGCTACTATTTTCTTTTTTTTTTTTTTAGGAATATGTTTTTTCTAGTTATACAAAAGCAGAGAATGAAAGTGTTGTGAAAACAAAATCACTCGGATAACTTCTGCCAATTTTTTGCAAATTTTGTCACAAATTTTGACTTGAATTTAGGTTTGATAGCATGTTGCTGCCACCACCGTGTTTCATCTGCAGCCAAAAGTTTACTTTATTTATTTGTAATATCGTCACAGGGGGAGAAATCCCCCACAACAATTTAATGCCAGAAAAATCCAATGAATGATCTCATTATTTAGTCATTGTGTTTTCAGTCGTCTTAACTGTGTTTTAGTCATTTGGTGTTTGGTTTCATCCTGTGATCCACAGAGTGCGAAAACCACAAGTGTTGAATATGAAAAGCTTGGGACTTTTTTTTCCTAAGAAAAGAAAGCAAAATGCTGCACAGAGTGTCCGTTGTTGGACTGAATTTGTGGCTATCACAACAACACAATGTCACCGATTGAGCATGTGAGGAGAAAGCACCCAGTGTTCGCCATCAGTCCGACCAAAACCAACACAAAAGGAACATTTTCCCCTGATATTCTCCCCCCTCGTTGCTCACTTTCTTACCTGGTTACTTTCAGTTTTCAGTTGCTTTATAACTGAAACTTATACAGTTTATTTGTTAACATTAGAAGTATTTGCAACATGATGCAAAATTCAAAATCTTACCAAGTTGTTTTTTTGTTTTGTTTTGTTTTTTTTAAAACATGTCTAGTTTCTGCTTCAAATATCTTGGTATATTTCAAATACGATACAAATAACTTTTCAACAGCTATAGGAGCTCTTTTTAAGTCAATAATTCCTCAATGTTGATGAAATCAGGCAGATTATTTCACTTATAGCAAGACATTTTTCCCTTGACTGAAATGGTTTCACTTTTTCATCAATATTAAGGAATGTTTTACCTTAAACAAGCTGCTGTATCTTACTGAAACATTACTTTTCAGTTAACTTTCTTATTTCAAGTATGCTAAGATATATATATATAAAAAAAAAGACTTGGTAAGATTTTATGTTTTGGCAGTGTGAGGGTCGGGTTGGGAGGGGATGCGCCGGCCACAACTATGAAGCACAATTAAAACCGGCCTCTTTCTTTTTTTTTTTGCTTTTTGAAGGAGGCGGCGGCTCAAACTCCGAGCCGCTGCAGTTGCCAGGTTTCCAGTTTCTGCTCTTTTTGTGGTGCGATTGTGAAATTCTTTGCCGGGGTGCGTTTGGGGGGGGGAAGCACGGTGTTTGAATGGCTGCATCGCAGGGCTGAGCCTGGAGCGAGTGGGGAATTTTAGCGCAGGGAGAAGAAGAAGAAAAGTCTCTGTGTCTCGGGCGAGGAGAGGAACAGGGAGGGGAGGTGCCGCCCTGAGGTTGGTGGGGAAGGGGGGGAGGAAGAGCGAGAGCGTTGTGCTAGGCGGAGGGGAGTAGGGCAGCCGGGGGGGGGGCTATGGGAGGAACCATGCTCAAGGGCTCTTTGAAGAGGGTCCTGTTGCTCCCAGAGTGTTTGTGATTTATCGCCCACCACTGAGGGGATCCAACTCCCTTCCTCCTATACCAGTTTTTTTTCCTTCTTCTTCTTCTCCTTCCTTCTACTCCCTTTTTTAATGTTTTCATAGCTCCTACAGTCAGCTCTGCGAGGGCAAAGAAGGTGGAGAGTTGAGGCTTAGAAAGGGGGCCTCTCTTCTCTGAGCCACAGGGGGAGGAGGGAGTTTACATGAGTGCAGCAGATGTGGAGAGAGGAGAGGAGGGCAGGGCTGGGAAACTATTCCGGCTCATTCCAGCTCACTACCTCTTTTTTTTTTTCTTCTTCTTCTCCTCTTTTTGTTTTTTTATAAACATTAAAGTGTTGCTCCTTCGCTGGGGCCTCTGAGTTAAGACAACATGCATGTGTTTGGGCCCGCCGAGTGGAAGGAACACGGAGTGGTCTCACGTGGAACCTTTTTTTTTATCATTTCTTTTTTCAAAGGTCACCACCTAAGTCGCATATAAATATTTCTTCTTTTTTTTTTTACTTCCTAGTTCTGAGTTTTAGTGTAAATGTTGGAGGACAGTGATTGCTTGCTGCTGTGCGTGCTGTCACAAGATTCGGCAGGCATGCTCGGGCTTGTTTGAGGAAATATTCAACAGCGTCTGTCACATTGGCACATTACCAAAACTATCTAAAAAAAAAAAAAAACTAAAAGCCCATGAGTTTCATTTGTGTTTATTGAAAAAGTTGCTAAAAAGTGCAACTGAAGGGAGCTGGTGGGAGTTTGGACGGGTCGGTCCTCCACATAGCAGCAGATTGAGCTAATGCAGCTTTCCTTGTCTGGGCCTCTTTAGCATTCAGCCTGACATCTGCTCCATTCAACACGGTCACTTTATTTTTTTTTATTAATTCTTGTAAATTATGGTGTTTAGTGACTTTGGCAGTGACTATTTTTCTCCCCTCCCCCGAAGGAAACGTCACGCATTGTTACCACCATCCAAGTCAGTAGCAGATTGAGGACACGGTCATGGTGTGATCTTTGTTGTTGTTGCAGTAATGCAAACGCTGTATTGATGCTTTAGACTGCATGGTACACTGATTAATAGCTCTGTGATGAGTCTGTATTGTGTTAAGTGCTGATTGCAGTAACGGTAGAGAATGCCACCAGAAAATAAAACGTTAACTCTCGCCTCAGCAGCTTTACGCTGGCGGACAACTAGTTTTACTGATTTATTCTTTGCTATTTGTAAGAAATAGTTGATTTTCCTTGGGCTGAAGGGCAGTATTATGTAAAATTGACTTTTTTGAGCTTTATATCATGTTATAATGTTATACCAACCCCAAATTAAAAAAAAAAAAAAAAACATATTGTGGGGGTGTTCCTATAAGCCTTTCTTGGATGTTTGAAGAGTCCAGTCCTTGAATGTCCCGTGGCAACCATTGGGGGTTGACTAAACGTTTTGTCTCACCAAACATCTTTTTCCACAAAGCTCCGGCCCAGAGCTGCAGTTTCCAAGCTCCCGAGCTTGGAAACTGCACTCAGCTCCTTCAGACTAGCCAACAGCAATTAGCAAAGACCTGGGGGAACTGCACATCTGCTGAGTTCATAATAGGAGCTACATTTCAGTGAAAAACTGGTAAAATGTCGTTAAATCCTGAAGGCGGTGTCAGAAAAAGCAGGAGCTTCTTAAAGAGACAGAAGCCCAATTTCAAGGTGCTTTAAGTCAAATTTGAAAGTAACTGGTAATTGTTTGCATGATAAAATAGCACCATGTCCTTGAAAACGCATAGCACCGGCCCTTGGTAAATGTTAGCTCACATCCTGAGAGGTGATAAATCCGTTGGACTCCAGCTGGATTTAAAGGTATTTTTGGCTCCTCGCTGTTTCCAAGATCTGATTAGAACAAAAACATGTTTAATAAACGTTCATCTTGTCCTTTCACTGTTTGCTGAACTGCACTGAACTGTACTAACATGCTAACACGGTTACACCCCCTGGCTTGTTTGTTACCTTCGCTTCTAGGAACACTTTCACATGGACCCATTGTGTCTCGAAACTGCTGTCCAGGGCTGTAATGTAATTCTGAAGCTCAATAAGATCACCGCTGTAAATGTAATATTTTCTCTCCACCCACCACCCCACCAACAACACACACACACCACCAAATTGCATTAGAGTGTAAATCCACTCAAGACATAACATGGAATCGTGTGCATAGCCGTTTCATTACCTGATTGTGTGCAAGGACTGAAGTCTGAACTGGCAAATCTTCTTTACCGGAGTCAGTCACTGTCTGTCAGGAGGATTAGGAAGGAGAGGAAACGAAGCCTGGGACGGTGTGTGTGCTTGTGTGTGTGTGTGTATTTGGTTGACTTGGAAGGAGAGCAACAGGACAGAGGTGAGATTAGAGCAAGACAATATCTGGAAGATGCAGAAAAGCTCCACCAAAACGGTTTATGCATCGCGCTAAAACGGACATGCGTTGCATAAATGCATTAAAAAAAAAACCCTCCGCTCCTTCTAAACACTTTTATTTTCAGCCCACATGTTTTCCTTCCCCCTGTTGGCTCACACAGTGTTGCACACTTCTACTGAATGCACAGGCTTGTAGCCATTAGCGCGCAGCAGCAGCACGACTCAGAGGCAGCATATCTTTAAAAACCGTTGTGGTCAAACAAAACATCGAGATTATAGCTATAGAGCTGTAAAACCAAGCTACTATCTGATCTGACGCTGTCGCATGTGCTTGTCTAACATGTACACCAGATGGGGTTCTAAACTTGCGCTTTAATCTTGCAAAAATGTCTTAAAATTTGTGTCTTAACTCAAACTGTTGGTATTAACAGGAAACATCGGTGTCAATGCATTCTGGGATATATAGCCCTATTATTCTATTCTTCTATTTTAAGTAAGAGTTTTTATGGTGGATTTGGCTTTAGAAAAATAGTCATTAGTGGTGAGTCTTCACACACACACATGCACACAAAGGGTTAATTTTCACCCTCTAGCAACGACCTCCTTATTGGTTCCTCCTCTTCGTCTGCATTGCATCTTCTTTCCACCAGGAGGAGACATTGTCTGCCTTTTATTTCCTCTACTGTGCATCACAGCTGCATCATGTTTTTTTGTGGTTAAAACAGATTCTAAGCGGTATGTTTCGTGTAATATTAGTTTCCAGTGAAGTCTTAAACCTCTTTTTAAACATTTTTTTGCACGGCCGGTTGTTTCAGCTGTTGCACAGGTCCTCTGATTTCAACTCCTGAGTCGCAGCTCGACCTCTTCCAGACCAGGAGGAACCTGAAAATGGTAGTTACCAGAGCAGACTCTCTAAATTTATCCCAACTAGTGAGCTATCTTTAGTGAGTTCACGGCTCCCTCTGCCCACAGTCTACATTTTGTTCGTTGCAGACATACCACTTGAGCTGGTGAGATTGTACCCCTCAGCTAAACCCCCCGTTGCAGCACACCGCAGCTCTGCGAGTGGCAGCTGCAAAGACTTCCTCAGTCCGTCTGTCTTTCTGACTGACTGCTGATTGACTGAGGCCAAACATGCACACTTGTAGAGGCATGTTTAGGAGGCTACCGTCGCCTTGCTATTCTTTTCCAAGTTGCCGCAGATACAGTCTCTCGTCAAAAAGCTAAATAAAGTTCCATACCGTACTGCCATGCAACTATTTAATCTTTCTGAATAAACAAGAAACTGATCTCTTCTAATTGAAATAACAAACTTGATAAGTGTAGCAGTTGGAATATATGCATGAACTGAACTGAACTAACTTTCAGTTCAGTTTGGTTCAATTCTAAAGTACCAACTTCACAAAAAACATGTCACCGAAACACACTTTACAAGACGGGTTACACGAATATCTATCATACTGAATGTAGGAATCAAATCCTATTTATTTCATTTATACAGGTGAAGTGAAATAATGTTATATAACATAATGCTTTATTTATTATTCATGAAAAATCTCTTGAGTCATTTACAAGAACAACCTGTTTCATACATCACAAGAAATAACAAAAAAATAATAATGTGACCTACTTAACACTTCCAAAAACCAACATTGTACATCAAGAGAGAGGTTTTCACCACAAAAGGATTTGCATCAGATAATTCAGTTCTCTGTCTACAGAAGGGCAGCCGATGGCACCGATCCCTCCTCCTGAGCAAAGACGTCGACGCATCAGAGCAAACAGTTGTAAAAATAATTAAACCGGTTGCGTCTGTACCCTGGGACAATTTATTTTGCCAGAACAATTATCAAACTTTAAATAAACACAGCATATTCTTTGCGTTTCCCTGGTTACAAGCCATGCCTAGCACAGGCTTGTCTATCAACGGATCGTCTGAGGAATCATCGGCGATTGCTCAGAGCATTTCTGCCATGTTTTGCCTCCCGGACACTCAATACGTTTCTATGGACGCCAAAACCGTCACGCCGTTGACAGTACTAAGAAGCAACTCTATCTGCAGTCTGTGCCGTGCCACTCATGTCCCCCTCTGCTTCCCCCCTCACCCAATAAACATGGGACCCTGGATCACCTTGAAGATTCGTCTCGTTGCAGCAGTTATCGCCCTACCTTGTCTGGAGCAGACCGGCAGATCTGTGGATGAAAATACGCAGAAAAAAGCATCTGCAACTTTGATTGGAAAGTTTTTGGATCCCCGCTTAAGCATTCAGCGACTCATTCTCCTCTTTTGATCTGTTATTTTTATGGATTTGATCTGAGGGAAAGCAGCCGGGTTAGGGTTTCCTTTCCCGGAAAGACGAGGTTGGCCGCGGGAGGAGATCCGTGTTGGATGTCTTGTTGTTCAGGGGGAGGAAGGGGGAAGAGGCTTACACTTCCAAGGTGAGAGATGGCGGCACTGCATGTCTCCCATCTTTATTTAGGGAAACTTTGCTCCATCTCAAAGTTTGCTACTTCTCCGAATCCCCCTCACCCCCCATCCCATTGGTTTTGCATTTCCAGTAATGTCTTCCAGATGACCACTTGTCCTCGATGAAGGTTTGTGTGTTATGTGGTCAGAGGGACTTGAGTAATCCAGTTTCTTCACACGCAACCCACCAGCCCCTCTGGTCTCAGGATGTGGATTCAGTCGAAGCCGTTCATTATTCGCCCGATTGAACCCCCTTGCCCCCATCCTCCCCGATCCCCTTGCGTTCGTTGGAACCAAGCAATGCCTCGGTGATAATTATCATACATTACTGAGAGCTGCACTTGTTCGTTTTCTTCTTTTAAAGGCAGATTTTTTTTAATTGACTCTTTTTTTATTATTTTTAAGAGGGGCAGAAAGGAAAATACGGTTTGGAGAAAGGTTCCATTCACCGACCCGGAGTCTCGGTGTTGAAACAGTCGAGCCTTTCAGGAAAAATCCCTTTTTACTTTTTTTTTTTTTTTTTTTTCAAAATACGCCTTTACAAAATCCAAATAAAAACCCTGGCCAAATCCTTCATCCTTTCATGTCCGCACCTGGCTGCAAAGTTCTAAAGGCAAAATAAGTAAAGAACTAAAATACCCAGAGACCTGGCTAACCTCATGTCACAGGATATTTGCTTAATTCCTTGACCCACCAAACCCTGACTTGAGCGCTCAGCCCCTCCTGCTCTTGAATCAGACTTTTCTTTTCACCTTTTGAAAGGCGCTCTCCGGCCATGTACCTGCCGCCTTTGAAGCCTCCGAGCGGTTTGTTGGTCAAACACCTGAGCTGGTTCAGAAGAATCGCCGCCATCTGTGAATTATCTGTATTTTTGTCGTCGTTGTTGTTTAGAGTATCAAATGTAATTTTCTTGTGAGAAATTAAGCTGTGGCGCCACAATAAAGACTTCCTTGCATTTTTGTTAGCTTGACACAGAGATGCGAGAAGCCTTTCTGAAAACGCAAGTGTGAAAACTGCAGGAATAACCCCAATCGTGCACAACGGATAAACAATCCATGACTGTGCACCTCGAGAATTACTGCACCTACTGAAATCCCCTGAGAGCTTTTGTGTTTTCAGTCAGAGAGAAACGGTGCCTCGCACAATTATTCATACGCCTTGAACATGCAACCACAAACGTCGACGTATTTTAGGGGATTTCATGCAAGAAAGGAGAGTATTACAGTGAAAAATTGCAATAACTTTGGGGAAGCTGCAGAGATCCACAGCTCTTGTGCCAATCCTTTATTGCTGAGAGTAAAGCTGATGTTAGAAGGACTATTAGAACGTCTGTATTCAGGTTGCCACAATCTAAATTAAATTTTCCGGCTGATCACTGATCAGCTACGTTTACACGAGACTACTTCCTTGTATTATTTTAGTCACCCTGGACTCCATGCTTGTCACGTGTGAAAGGTCTGTTTGATATGAAGCCACTGATTTTAATATTTCCATCTGTTGACCTTTGTCTCCTCAGGCGTCTGTTTGGCAGACTTGACGGAGCAGTTTTTCCTCCCAGAGACCGCCCCGCCCTTGCTGACCAGACTCCTCGAAGCTATCGAGAGGAAAGGTGAGGCTGCCATGACAACCAGTCTTCCCCCTCGCGTCCCAGTTGACTCTGTCGATCGGTGAGCGGTTCGGCAGAACCACACGGGGTGACGTCCGTGTTCTCCTTTTGACAGGTGTGGACAACCCGACTCTGTATCGAACGTTCACCGCTGGAGGTGGACTCGAAATCAGGCAGTATTATGATTGTGGTAAGAATGTTTTTATTATTATTTTTTTTTCCATTCCCCATGTCCTAATCAGCTTGAGTGTGTGTGTGTGTGTGTGTGTGTGTGTGTGTGTGTGTGTGTGTGTGAACCTTGTAACTTTCCAGTCAGCAAAATGAGACCAGTACACACACACAGACGAAGTTTCAGAAAATAAAAGGGGTTGTGTGTTTGCACACACATGACGTTAGCGACTCAAAGGGCTCGTGGTTTTCTCACAAACCAAGCCACTGCATTTCAGATCCTCACGCCGCTGAGCTGGACCAGCTGGAGCTGCCCGCCCTGTGCGACGGCCTGCGCAGGTACCTGCAGGATCTGCCCCAGCCCATCGTCCCAGCCGCCCTCCACGCTCAGATGGTCCACGCCGTCAAAGGTGAGAGCCCACTCAGCGTCCTCGAAGCGTGGTGCATGAAGCGCTGACGTGATGTCCCCAAACTGTACAACACGTTCTGTGAGATGGAAAAAACAACAACCGCAAAACACTCATCTGCTCTCCGCTTCTCCTTTTGGGTTCTTGACTTCATCAATTGAAAACATGCAAAGTTCAGATCATGCATGCTTCTCCCCTGCTTTTTTTCTTTAGCTTTGAATTAACTTTTTTGCTTTTTTTGCAAAGCAAAGGGAAGAAGAAAAAAGAAGAAAAGTCGCACCTTGCTGCGTTCTGTTGCATTGTGTTCTGTTGCATTGCATTCCCTTGATGTCACATGGCCAGAAACCGGATATCTGTGGTTAATAGGAACTAAAACAAGCCTGAAAGTTTATCTCTGCCATCTCTAGGCAGCCAATCACCTGCTAGTGTACCTTACGCTCATTCTGAACCGCACACTCTCTCAGCGGTTTCCAAGACAAACTGCATGACTGTTTTTTCTCTCTTTTTTTTTTTTTTGTTCCATCTCTTCATTGTCTGAAGATCTCGCTTTCATTTCGTGTCGTTCTTCAGCCAGAGACGCTCCCAGTTGCGTTTCGTCTCATTTTCTTTTGACCCGAACGTTTTTTTTTTTGTTTGTTTTTTTTCCCCCCCACCAACAGAGGCGGCGAACCCCGAGGAATGCACCCAGCTGCTGCGCCGCATCGCCAGCTCCGCGACCCTGCCGCCCCAGTACTGGCTCACCCTGCAGTGTCTGCTCAGGCACTTCTCTAGAGTCTGCCAGAACACGCCCAAGAACCAGCTCAGCGCCAGATCGTTGGGCGAGATCTTCAGCCCCGTGTTTTTCAGACAGCAGCCCACCAGGTGAACATCGCTCGTCAAAAAAAAAAAAAATCCAGACATATTGCATTTGCGGCTTGACCTTTAACCCCCCACACCTGCCCTTTTCTCCCCTTCTACAGCTGCGAACCCAGTCTGGATGCTTTCATCAAGATCATCGAGGTGCTGGTGACCAGCGAGTGGAGCGAGAGCCAAGCAGCTCCAGGTACGGGCTCCGGTCATCCATCTAACTTTACATCGGACCCTCGCACTTTGCATCGCCTCTTTTAGAGACGGGCACATTAGTTATGAGGGGGTGCAGAGCGTTAAGCTCACCGTGGGCATTAAACTGCTGCACAACTCTTGACTGAGAGCTGAGCTATAAATAGCTCTGCTTGAAGTGTCGAGACCAGCAGCTGCAGCAGGCTGCAGATTGCAACATCTAGGTGCATCTGAATTGAAAGTGTCAAATTGTCTTGCAGGATTTCAATGCAGTTTTGAAAAATCTGGCCTTTATTTTGGAGTTTTTTTATTTTTTATGAGTCTTGTTTAGATTCCAGTGCATTCAGATTTTTCCAAGCAGAATAAGGAATATTTCTCTCCTCAAATTCTGCTTTTCGAATCTGTGTAATGCAAAGTAATCCAGGCAAAGCGTAAATGTTTCACATTTTTCAGTTTGATCAGATCTGAGCTTCTTCTGATGCCTAAAAATAGAAAACTCAAATGAAACGACTGTCAGCGGTTCTTACATTTTCTGAATGCTATCAAACCTGTTTGAGGAATAATTTGGCAAGTTTAGATTGAAGAAAGTAACTTGAGATAGGAAGTTTAGTGTTTACAGAGGTATTTTCACAGCTGAGGTGCTTCAAAGCATGCAGCATCACAAACTTGCTTCAGCTGGATGTCGGGTTTTTTTTTAATTTTTTTTTTTTATCATTTTAACCGGATTAAACCAGTTTGCAGACGGTTCTGTGATTTTTGTGGTTTGTCTTTCTGGGTCTATTTTCTCACGGTTGGCCTGGAAACTGAAGTTAGTTTTAAAGTTTCGGCGGTGGTCTTGCTTTCGGGAGCTGAAAGAGAGAGAGAAAAAACCGAGCTGCTGTGGTAGGAGGCTGCAGTGTGTTGCGTGTGACACTTGTGTTTTTACAGGGCTTGTTAAAAGCGCTGTTGTTGGCTCGCCCACGGACCATAGACTGACCATGGCTGTTTAAACATTTTTATTACCTGTTGGGGCTATTTATAACACGGCTGGTCTCTGCTGTCAGTAATTTGCACCTGCAAGAGCATTTTGATGGACGCATGGATGGAAATGCTTTTTGTTCCCCCATTACAGATTTATATTTGGAAGGTCGTAACGATTAACCAGATTCATCATGATGAATAGACGAATAGTTTAGTCAGTGAGTAATGGCTAACTGGAAAGTACAGACTAAAAATGTCAATTTGCTGAACAAAGTAGTAATTAAGCCAAAAATGTACAAAATATATAGATTTTATATTTAAGATAAAAACCTTCTGTAAATATTTTTCACCCAGTAGTTTTAATAATAGTTTTTTAATTATTAGTTTTTTGCTTGCACCTTTTAGGATATTTCTAATATTGTATAAAAAAAAAAGGTGTAATTTTTTTTTATCCAACTAATCATTAAAATTATTGGTAGAATAATGGATTACTAAAAATAATTGTTAACTGCAACCCCGTTGTTATGGCAACAATCCCAGCCTAGCTTTCAATAGAAACCTTTTCAAAATATAAACTTATTACAAATGATAAAAAAGGTTCCAAAATATGATTCTAACGATAAAGTGGATTCGTTGCACACATTTAAAATCTGATCAAAATGCTTTGCATGTTAGCCAAATATTTTCTAATATTTAAATTGGGAAACATAAGCAAAATTAGTATAACCTGGAAATTACAATTATCTTTATTTTTTCATTTCTATATACATAGATTCAAGCAAAAAAATTAGAATAAATAACAGCTATTTTGTTTTGCCATAAGCTATTAGCTTAGTTGGGCTAGCTGCTGTGCTATTTGTAGCATGCTAGCTTTAGCTTCAAAATGACGCCGTAATATTTTTCAGACGTCCAGTTTTTGTCCCGTTGGCAATAGCATCTTACCCCCAAGCTGACTGTCGGTCTGCAGAAACAGGTGGGGGAGGGGCCAGCACCTTATTTTTTTTTGTACTCTTTGCTACAGAAAGAGTTTGAGCGGTTCGAGAGCCGGCCGTGGGCGGCCCGCCTGAAGCACATGACCCTGTCAAACATGGGCGCTCAGGTGCGCCGGGTTTCAGTCATCTGGCTCATGCAAACACCGAGACGAGGGGAGCCTACTCTGTAAACACACATGTTCGGATTGTGTGTGTTTTGTGAATGACCTGTGTCTGTGTGCGTGTGTTTAAGGGTGTCTGCATGCCTCCTCCCAGTTACTGCTAGCCTATTTTAAGTAAGCGTCAAAAGGCCCACTTAGATTTGGTTGGCTGGAAAGTCGGCCTGTGCCACAGAGAGCTTCTTGTTAACTGAAGACGGCCCCCACCCTCCTCACCTCCCCACCACCTGGATATCCACATGTCCTGCCCCCTCAAAGGGCTCAGTCAGCAAATATTTGAAACTTTTGCAAGTTAATCATAAGACCGAACGCCCACCCCGTTCGTCCTTTACAAACATGTAGGAAAAAAAATGAAGAAGAAGAAGAAGAAAAAAAAGAGGGAGTGACCACAGAAACCTGAGACTCTGGATTCAGGGCGACACCGTAGCAGCTACTGCTAATCATTAACCATCCGCCTCCACGTGAGCAGGCCTCAGGCTCGGCTCAGAAAAGGAAACGGTGTGGGGGCAGGAGGGAGGAGCAGCAGCAGCAGGAGGAGGGAGGGAAGGAGGGAGAGTCGGAGCAGAAGCTGAGCACTCTCAGTCAGACAGAGCGGGGCGAGCGAGTCAGTCACACACTCAGCCCAGTCGCACCCAGCACCTGCCCAGAGGATTACCTGGATTTCATTAAGAAGTGCACAGAGCCGCATCTTTTTCAAAGAATTAAAACGAGACGCATCCTCATACCGGAGGAGGAAGAGAAGGGTGGATGCAGCCCAAACTACGAAACGGAGCTCCGTCGAACTGGATTTAATTCAACCTGTGGAACTGAAAGAGGACGCTTCAGAAAGGACTTTACATCCACTGAGACATGCACAACGTACAGCGTGAGTCTGACGCTCTTACTCTGAAACTCCAGGATGTATCTCTACTTTTAACCTGCGAACTCTTCCAAAAAAAAAAAAAAAACATAAAAATATTTTATTTTATTTTTAAAGAAGCCCAGTTGTCGCTCAGGCCTGCTTCAGGCACACGGCTGCACAAGTAACTCTCCAGTTTGCACCGGCTCTAAAACCCTCGCATTATTTTTAGATGCGTCGTATCGAGAGAGAGTCTAAATAATTTAAAGCGTAAAAGGACTCTTTACCCGACCGAAGGTGTGCTGGCGTGAGATTCTTTCAGAACAAGAACCTCGAGCGAGAACTGCTAGATGGAGTTACTTTTATTTCAAACAGGAAAGCAAAAGTTTTCGTTTTTTCACTTCCGAAGCCGCTATCTGAGAAAAAAATACGGTACAGAAAAAAATGCTGAACTGATTTAAAAATGTTTCTTTTTTTCCTTTTTTTTTTAAAATAAAAATTTACTTGGTAACTGCAGCAGTACAGCACGCTCAAATAAACCAACAGCTACACAAGCTTTGTCAAACATGAGATTTGTACAAATAAACTGCAACAAAAACGTTCAGAAAATTCAATTAGGAATATGAAACGTAATGTAAAATAAATAATAAATCATGAAGTCGCTCAGACCACAAGGCGTATAATTAGATTGTCACAATATCCAAACTAGAATTTATTTTTGCCAATATTGGGACCGATACGGGTATGAAGTAATGTTATCTATTAATAGTTAGAATTGAACTTATTTCTGTAGAACTTTTTGTCAGAAAAGGAAAGTTTCTTTCAGCCAGCTGAGTGGCAGCATGCAGCAACAGGTGTGGGAAGAGCAGCAGATCTTACTAATCATACTGGTTGTACTTTTTCTTTCAGGCACTTATTTATTAAACTAATAGCTCTCTTCTCGAGCATCATTCACTACTTCTTCTTCTTCTCCATAAATCAGAAGAATCTCCTCTTAGTAAATCTGGCCGTATGAAAACCGGCTTCCCCCTCCCTCTGAAGCCCTAATTCTCTACCAGGAAGCTGCTTCTATTTTAACATCGCTAAGGAAACCTGGCAGGCTGTCTCCGTCACGTCGAGTGTCATGCTGCGGGATTACAGGACGTATTTCAGAGCCCTGGGTTAATGCTGACCCCCGGGGGGGGGGGGGCAGGAGGAGGAGGGCCAGGCATTATGATTCAGCTGCGTACGTGCTGCAGCAGCAGCAGAGCCGGCTTTGTCCGTGTGCCAGCAGTGGGACGGGCCGAGCGTCCGCGCGACACACGCAGGGAGGAGGGGCGAGCGAACCTGCAGGAGAGCAAGTGCACAGGCTCGGCAGAGGGAGACGGGGATGCGTGAGGGAAAGCATGAATCGAGCTGCAAGAAGCTTTTTTTTTAATTCCTTCCTTCTAGTTTAGCTGCAAAGCGGAGAGTCTGATCCCATTCTGCTCGGCAGCAGAGCTGTAAAGTATATCGGCAGGAAATACACTCGGAGAATGACCTCATCGCTCTCAGGAAATGAAAGATGCAGGAGCGGTTGGTGACTGACCCCCCTGTGTGATTGGCTGCGGTGAGTGATGTAACACGTTACCGAGCAGGCTGCCTCTTAATGGCTTTTGGGAATCGTGCGATTTTAAAAGTGACTCTGCCTCGGAGAGAAAGAGGAATCTGCGTTGTTGTGGCTGCTGCTGTTTCCTTTTGTTTTTATTAAGTCTGCTTTGCGTTTGAGGAGGAGGAGGAGGCATTTCCAGTCATTTCTAGATGTGGTGGGAAGCTCAGACCTGCACTGTTCTGTTTTATGCAATTATTTTTTGTTACTGCAGAAGGCATCTGCCAAGTTAATCCTGCTTTTAGTTGCAGGCGAGAGACGTTCCGCAAGGTCCGCTGCTGCAGAACAATTGATGCAGTGCAGATTTGTGGGGTTAAAAATAGCCGACTACCTTAGCTCCAATCTCCGCTAGCCTCCATTGGCTTTGACTTTCATAGATTTATTGACTCTGAATCTATAGAGCAGAATCAGGTCATCCCACAGCAAAGCCCCGGACGAAGGGGATTCGTTCGCCGGTGACGGCTGTGGATTTCAAACTTGCGTGTGTCGTCTGTTTCCAGCCGTTTGTTTTTCAAGTCCTCCATGCGCATCGTTCTCTCAGAAGGATGCACTCCCGCATTTTGCAGCGAGGAATATTTATAGGCGGCCTCCTTTCTTGAATGAAATTCATTCTGCCTGACTCACGCTCCGCTCCGTCTCTCCTCCCACTCTCGCTGTCGGGAGAGAAGGCAGAGTTTCATTATCCCAGTTTGATGAATTGGGGCGGAGAGGAAGAGGGGTACGAGTGAGAGCTAATAAGCCTGCAGCAGAATGCCTGATTTGCCTCAAATGGCAGAAGTCGGGGAAAGTAAATTTTGCTGCCGAGACGCCAGAAATTCAACCTTTTTCTTTTTTTTTGTTTTCTCCAACAGCTCTACCTCCAAAACCACCCAAGTCCACAGCTGTGACTAACAACGGTATGAACAACAACATGGCTCTTCAGGACGCTGAATGGTACTGGGGGGACATCTCTCGGGAGGAAGTCAATGAGAAACTGAGGGACACTGCGGACGGTACATTTTTGGTGCGGGACGCCTCGACTAAAATGCACGGAGACTACACTCTGACGCTGAGGTGAGTCGAACCGTCCTCCTCTGTCTTTCTATCCTTCCGTCCCACTCTTGGTTTAACTCTTCTACCACCTTTGTTTGCTTGCAGGAAAGGAGGCAACAACAAGCTCATCAAGATTTTCCACCGTGACGGAAAGTACGGCTTCTCGGATCCGCTGACCTTCAGCTCCGTCGTGGAGCTCATCAACCACTATCGGAACGAGTCGCTGGCTCAGTACAACCCCAAGCTAGACGTCAAGCTGCTTTACCCGGTCTCCAAACACCAGCAGGTAGGGGAGCTAGCCCACTGGATTGTCACAGCGCTTCCCTTTTTTGACGGGAACTTAACCGCAACTCTGAAATCTGTCATCAGGACCAGGTGGTGAAAGAAGACAACATTGAAGCTGTGGGGAGGAAGCTTTGCGAATACCACCAGCAGTACCAAGAGAAGAACAAAGAGTACGACCGTCTGTACGAGGAATACACCAGAACGTCACAGGTGAGACGCAGCCCCACTCCTGACTGGCATCCGTAGTTTGACTGCAGAATTTGAATTTGGATTTTAAAACCGTGCTTTGTCTTGCAGGAAATCCAAATGAAACGCACAGCAATAGAAGCCTTTAACGAAACCATTAAGATATTTGAGGAGCAATGTCAGACGCAAGAGCGGTACAGCAAAGAGTACATCGAGAAGTTCAAGAGAGAAGGCAACGACAAGGAGATCCAAAGGTGAGGACGCTATGGAGATTAGTCCCTTTTAGCTCGCTTTCCAATGGAGTGTTTTGTTTTTTTTGTGCTAACTTGTTTCTTTTGTTTGCAGAATTATGGGTAACTACGAAAAGTTGAAATCAAGGATCAGCGAAATCGTCGACAGCAAGCGCAGGCTGGAGGAAGACCTGAAGAAGCAGGCGGCGGACTACAGAGAGATCGACAAGAGGATGAACAGCATCAAACCCGACCTCATCCAGCTCCGCAAGACCAGAGACCAGTACCTCATGTAAGTACGGCGCATCAAGGGTTAGGATGTTCTTATTGAGGTGTGTCGTAACCTCGACGTACCTTGATAGGTTTGGTCTTTCTTAGTGTCTAACATGCATCTGCTTCCTGTCCGACAGGTGGTTGACACAGAAAGGAGTCCGACAGAAGAAGCTCAACGAATGGCTAGGAATCAAGAACGAGAATACCGAAGAGTAAGTCCCCAAGTCCGAACGACGCAGAAAACGTTCAACAAGAAAACATCACAACTAACATTCTGTCACGTCTTTGGTTTTCTTTCAGTCAATACTCAATGGTGGATGACGACGAAGACCTCCCGCATCACGACGAACGCAGCTGGAGACTGGGCAACATCAACCGGCTCCAGGCCGAGGCCGTGCTCCAAGGCAAGAGAGACGGAACATTCCTGGTTCGGGACAGCAGCAAAGCAGGGTGCTACGCCTGCAGCGTTGTGTACGTATCCATAAAACTACAATTAGAGTTGTCGTCATCAGATTTCCTGACAAGTGGGTGACCGTTTGTCCTGCCTCTCTGTCTTTCCGCAGCGTGGAAGGCGAGGTGAAGCACTGCGTCATCAATAAGACGCCGTCGGGCTACGGCTTCGCCGAGCCGTACAACCTGTACGGCTCGTTGAAAGAACTCGTCCTCCACTACCAGCACACGTCTTTGGTCCAGCACAACGACTCTCTGAACGTGACGCTAGCGTATCCGGTGTACGCCCAGCAGAGACGGTGAGGAACCCCCAACCCCTGGACATTCACCTCCCCGCACAGACACACGGGTTTACGAACCTGGCTGGAGCCGGAGGAGACGACGTCTTGGACTCCTTGAGCAAATGCGAACAATGAACAACGGAACGGACACGCTCTGACACTCGGACTTGGAAACCGGAGGAAAAGGACACAATAAAGCCTGAAACATTTCAGTGACTTTGCCGTAAAACCAGAGGCGAGTCTGAATGTAGATCTCTTTATTTTTCTTTAGTTTTTTTGTGGGAGCACAGAATCTAGCGGAAACTGCTGAACTCTCCAAGAGGAGGACGTCTGAGGCCTTTTCCTTATGGTGCTTGTCCGTTTTTTCGAAGCTTTACCAGCCGGAATGTTAAACCACAAAGTCAAACCCTTGAAACGGAACCGTACTCACCGGCTACGACTTTTTTTTTCTTCTTTTTTTTCCTCACATCATCAACGTGCATTTCTTTCTTTCTTTCTCCTCCTTCCTCTACGTGTGTGTTTGTGCGGACTGTCCACGTGACCAAAACTCATAGAATCGGGAGACCGTGCGACGCTGGATGGCTGGAACACATTAGCTTGTGTTTATCTGCTCAGCAGCAGACCATGGATCAGCTGAAAATGTAGCAAAATGGCACTTTTTCTTCTTTCTTTTTTTTACACAATTTTTTTTAATGGTTTGATAAAAAACAAACTCCTATGAACTTATAAGAGCAGAGTGGAGACGGGAAAAAGCCTGCAGCCGTGTCGCTGTCGAGCTTTAGAGTGCAGAAGCAAACTTGATCTTAAAGGTGTCGAACGAGCTTGAGACTATGAATGGACTTACTATTTCATGTACATATGTGAAATTGTGCAAAGTCATGAAACAAAGTGCACCGTACCAAAAAGGATCAGTTCCTGTTGAGTTCTCTTCTGATCAGCTATGCAATTCTTTCTCCATTTGTACTTAAGAATTGTTTAACTGTTGCAAACCCACAATATAAGCTTGTTTTACCGCTTGAAAAGTATCTTTTCCTGTGTAAAAAAAATATCTGAGGATATTTTTTTTTTTTTGGTTTTGTTTCAAAATGCCAAGCTACAGTACAAAACGCTTCTGATTTTTAAAGAATAATAATAGAAACGTACACTTTATTGTAAATGATTTTAACAGCTGGTATACAGATGGAAAAGATGAGTATTTTATTACCTTTTTTTTGTTGTTTTTGTTTTGTTTTGCTTCAAACTAAAGTTCCTCTCAGGCAGAGCCTTTTGAGTGTTTGAGCTGCTTCAGTGAAGAGTGGAGAGCGAAGCCCGTGTTGGAGGAGCAGTCGGAGAACGGTGCTGGTTGGGATTGTACGACCCCATATCGCCGCCCAAACAGCAGTAGAGATTTATTTTGTTATAAAATAGATATGTTCCCATATGAGAGAATAGAAGATCAATTTACATTTTACACTTTGTATATTTTTCTGTATCAGAAAATGTTTACATGGGTGGATCAGCTCATTTCAGAAACTTTTTTTTTTCATATTTCAAAGTTGCGCCACGCAAAAGTGGCGCAAATCCGAAAATAAATAAATAAATAAATCGTCAACAGCTCAACTACAGTTTTCCTAACTTGTTTTTTTTTTTTTTTTCATTTAAAGTTTTTATGAGAAAAGCGGTACATGCCCAAACAACCAATCAGAGCGCTTGTTGGTGTGATGCGTTTTACAAAATCTGAACAGGCATGCACGCCGAGTCAGCTGTTGAGTTGAAATCTTAACAAAAATGAGCTGGGAAACCAGAATGTGATTGTTTCTATTTTCACTATTACGACGGGAGTCTGATGATTTACCTCCCATGTATCTCACACACACACACACACACAAACCGGCAGCGGCGGCAGAGGCTGGGTGTAAATCTGTTTCCCCCTAAAGCAGGAAACTTTCTGCGACGGTACACGCAGTTTTGACCAAACTGCTCATCTGAAATTTAATTTCTTTTTTTTTTAAGCACATTTTGGGTTTTATCACATTTATAAAAGTACTAAAGACATCTGTAATATGTCTAATTTTATTTACCTCACAACAGCTGCTGGCACAACCTTTTTATTTCATTATTATCCCCTCAGATCACACAGACATCATGCACCTTCTCTGCCTCAGTGCTGAGTTGTATGATTTTTTTTTTTTTCTGTTCATTTTGTGTCCCGCACATGATTGGATTGATATTTGCCAGTGTTCCTAAGTTTGGCTTTGAATCTGTATTGGGCTTTGTTTAAAAAAAACAACAAATAAAACACTTTTTTTTTTTTAAAGAAACACGAGTGTTTAATTTATTTGCTGAATGAACTTTGATGTGAAGATCAGGAGCAGCACGCTGAGGTAAAATGACATTGCAGCTATGCACTGAAGATGATATGATAAAAAGATGCAGTTTAACATCTTTGTTTAAATGTCTTGGTTTTAACTACAGTCACTGGAAATAATCTAAAAAGACCCAAATATGCAAAAGAATCAAGACAAGTTGTATTGAATCAACCTAATGCTCATTTCAATGCTAAATTAGCATTACTACAATCAAATCAATAGACATTTTGCATTGATAATCCAGAAGGGGATGAATAATTGATATGTCATTTCAAAAATAACAATTGCTCCTTACCATCAAGTTGCATTTCTGCCTCAGTATCTGAGCATTCCTGTAAGACGTTAGCTTGTGCTTAAATTAGCTGGAGTAGCGCTAGCTTGTGTTAAGAGTCAACAACTTAACGCGTTTGTTTTAAGATGCGAGTGGGCTTGTTCCTCTCCGGACTTTTATTAGATACATCACAGTTGGTACAAGGAAACGTCTCAGCTGTTCAGGTCTTTGCTTTGTGCCTCCAGATTTACGTCAAACGAGATGAAAGTGTTGCGTTCTGCTTTCCTGCCTTAAAAGGAAAACCTCCACCTGGCTGGAGATTACACTGCATATAAACCACAGCGTGGCATAATTGGTGGGTGTTTTAAATAGATGCTTCATTGACACTTTCATCATCAGGTTGAGCTGCCTGCAGACTATGCTGAACATCTTCCATCTCTCCTCTGTATCTGCTGGCGCATGACAGTGAAACCGGAAGGCTACCTGCTGGAGTCCGATCCGGTCTGAGCCGGTCGGTTGAGTTTAGCTGAGTCACAGCTGATTTTTCCACGTTTCTGTCCCTTTAAACTGTCACTCAGAAAAGTACCCAGGCCCTAGTTCTCAATGTTACATTTTCTACCTCCTAGGGTTGCCACCCGTCCCGTAAAATACGTAACCGTCGCGTATTGAACCGATACGGGACGCGATTCAATATATTATTATTTTACAAATTTCTTTAATTTACAAAAGTGTAATTTACAAATGTGGATGCGTAATAAAGAAAAGGTCCCCGAGTACTTTAAATAGTAGGCTGCCCCAGTCATTGTTTGACTCATGGTGTTGGTGTTGCGATATTGTGCCCAACTGCTTTCTGGGTAACACAGACCAACATGCTGCCGCCGCAACCCCCCAACCCCCCCGCCTAATTTCTGAAAGGTGGCAAACCTAACCTCAACACTTCCTCCTTATTCTTGAACTCAACCTCAATGAAAACAGAAAATAGGCGATCCAACTTGAAAAAAATGATTTTGTTACAAGAAATCAAATTAACATTACCTAAGTGAATATAAGAGTTACTCATTTGTCAAACTTCATGAATATATGAAAGTTTGACAAACTTAATTTGATTACATGTAACAAACTAACTAGTTTTTCTTTTTTCAGTGTGGTTGAAACGTTGACATTGCTGGATGTTGCAACAGGACAACGAACTCAAACACCTGCTGACCTTTTGGAAAGCCCTGACCTCTGCTATGCTGAACATCTGAGGACTAGGAAACCTGCCTGGCTGGAAATGTGGCCAAGGAGTCCGGAGGCAAAAGATCAGCGATATTAGCTTAAAGTATTTTAGCGATGCTACTTCTGGATAGCCCCATAAAAACAGCATGATTTAGTATTAGCGTTAAACCAGGCTTATACATATTTCCGCATTTATGCCATATTTTTTTTTACTAAGAAAATATTACAGATTGATTTATATATATCTTTGTAATAATCTGATTAAAAAACATTCATTTCAGCTAAACAAAAACAAAATATAACAAAATATTCTGATAGAAAAGTTAGCACACTAATGTTTTTGGATGACCATTTTCTGACATCAATCTGATGACCGTCTCTTTCCACTGTGAGATATTTGAGGGGTTTTAAATCACTCCATATCATTTTGATTTAATCAGGATGCTCAGGATTGAGGATTGTGGTTACAGCAAAACGTCTCTACACCATGATACTTTGACCTCCACGTTCTTGTCCTACTCGAATCCTGCAGTGGGTTTACGCCAAAGACTGTCCTCTTGTTCCGGTGTCAAAATAATGCATTAGACGTGACGACTGGTCTAAATATCATCGTTCTCTGTGGCAAATTTGGAAGGTCTGATTTCCAAATTCTTTTGAGATCTCTTGAAATCCCCTGAACCGACTCAAAAGTTGCTACAATATTCTCTCTTGAGGCCTCAGGCAGAGTTTTCCAACTCACTGGCACATCAGGCTAAATATCTGAGCTTCAAACCTTCAAAATGCGGCATAATGATGCGAAACACTCGTACGTGACTCCAGCCGCCTACCGCTGATCTTATATCTTTGCTCCCCATCACAGTCAGAACACCAGTCTGCAGATTTTGACGGGTTTTTTCCCTCCCAGTCTTCCCTCGTTTTCTACTTTAGGTACAGAGCGGAGTGGAGTGGAGTTTAACAAATATGCAAATGTTCACAAACCAGTTTTTTTTCTAACAGACACCTGGATGCCTCTCCCTCACATTGCAAAAGTTACCATAACTGGCATACCTGAGGCGCATCGGAGCGAGATCGTAAGTGAAGAAAAGAACTGGAATGGTGTCAACTTGGAAACTTTTTTACTTATTTTTTTTATGAGGTTATGTGCAGCAGCCAGATTCGCGTCATTCTTAGAAACAGAAAGTTTTTAGGAGCAAAGACACTCAAACAAGCTGGAGTTACTAATTTGGTTCTTCTGATGGCAAACAGTTGAATTTATTTTGTGTTATCGAAGTGCTGGGGGCAGAATGCAAACTTTCAGACTTTATTCTTTTACTATTTTGAAAAGCCTTTAGTTTTTTTCTTCCATCTCAATAGTTATTGTTGATTTTATGTTGGTGTGTCACATTTTAAATAGGGACGTACCGATATCTCACGTTTAAAACATTAAAACGTTCCTTTGTTTTTTAAACACAGACGTAAATTTACTTAATTACAATTTTTTTGACAACTATATACCAGTACAGCACACTTAAATACACCATTAGCTTCACAAAAGAATAGAATTTGAATAGATCGGCCAATAGATCACCAATACCTGATCTAGAATTTTTTCGATATCAGGACCGATACAGATATTCATATCGGATCGGTGTTTCTCTCATTATAAATATACTCACAATTTATTTAGTGGGTTTTTTTCCCCCTCAACCTCTGACATCCAACTTTCCTACTTTAAGTCAGTTTGGACCTAAATGTCAGACCAGTCAGAGGGGGACTTTTGGTTTTCATGTCATTCGTTGGTATTTGGTAGAACTGCATTTTTCTGCTCAAACATTTTGGGTTTTTTTCCACAAACTTCTCACAATTTGCTGGAAATTTTTGCCCATTCATCTTCATAGAGTCAAGTATGTAGGTCACCCAACAAAAACCTTTCAGCTCTGTCCACATATTTTCTAGAGCCTGAAATCAGACACCTGCTTTGTTGCCCTTAAGCCTCTTTGTAGTAACTTGGAGTTTTGTGGCCAAGCTTTGACCTTCTGGCCACCGTCTTGACATGTCGTTTCAGTATTTTGTTAGAACACCATAAAGTGCATTTAATCGCCACACATCATGATGATACCACCCTTGTACTTGATGTAACTCTTAGACTTAGGTTACATCACAGGATCTAGTATCTGGGCTCTACTTTAATAGCCACGCTGCCATCGACCAGAAAATTGTGCAAATTGGAATTACGAAAATAAATTTGCTTAACGGAAACACGGCAATTTCGAAACAACTCTTTTTTCAAGAGAAAGTCTTGGCACT